CCGATTAAAAGACTTTTTTGCCGTATGAGTATACGTTGCCCGGGGTGTGCGATAGACTTACGTCCACGTGGTACACCCTGGGCAACGTATACGCATACGGCAAAAAATCTATTTATCGACAGTTGACTTTTGACTTTAAACTACCATCACCCCACTGTATGTCATATTCGACCCTTTCGCAGTACTCACCTTACCTTTTTCTCTACCTTTGTGCCTGTCTGTCGTTTTTACACCTGTGAATCGCTCTTTTGTTTCCTATCTCGACTTTTGTGGCTTTGATGTTCCTCCTCCTCTCTGTGAAGCCCGAAGTCAACTAAAGGGCTAATGATAACCATCATAAAGTCTGTCATTTGATGTAAAAATAAAATAATATCCTGTGATATTGAAAATACTCTGGAATGCTAATCATATTTTTAAAGGTACAACAGATTGTCTGTCGTTGAAATAGCAGTCTTAAAAAACTGGACCTTAATTGATTAGTTCAAATTTTTACATTCACTTGAAGTTCGTGAGCAGTAATAAATGGGTAATTATGAACATTCATCTGAAGGGAACACCAAATACATCATCGCCGTAAAATGACGTATCAAAGTGGGGGTAAGTAAATGAAAACGGAAAAATATGTGGTAATCTCTCGAGTTGAGCTGACAGGCGTGCTGCTTTTGCGTGCCACAACCAATTACCCCACATTTCGATCGCCTTGCCCCAAACAAGCAGTGGTCCTGTTTTATTTCAGTCATTGAGCCTGATCACTTCTCCATTTACAGCTTCTCCTCTCTTGTGTTAGCCTTTCATACTTATAGTTAGGCAAACCAGTAAAGGCTCAGTGAAATCAATTTATATATGGCAGATTTTAGGTTTTACCATTTGTTTCAACTCACCCATTAGTAGGAGCGAAAAGGAACATTGAGCTGTAGGGTAGAACTGGTTTTCCATGTCCGCCTTTTTCTGAATCTGGTCTTTGACCAGTCTCATCGCTTTCAAAGGATATATAGTTCTGCACTTTCCCTACAAAATCACAATAACAGCATGGATTCGTATGTTATCAACTCGAAAAATAAAGAATTCGCTTCAGTTGATTGAAAAAAACAAAGTGTTCTCACTTTCACTAGTGAGATTTGATGTGAGGTAGTTGCCATTGGCTTTTTGATCACCTAATTGCACGCTCAGCTCATTGGCAATAGTAGGATCCCTGAAATAATTAGAAGGAATGACTCATTACCACAATAATGGGAATTGAAAAAAAAACCAGTAAAATAGATAAGACATACTGCCACATATTATCCTTGGTGGGAGTTCGAATCCATGGGAGAACACGGGCCTTATTTGGATCCGTCAGATCAATTGTATTTGGATCCAGGCCTTTGGCTTTCGCCTCCTCCTTCTGGAAAAAAATTATTCCTTTCGATTCTTTGTTGTTTGAGCAGGGAAACCAAAAAATCAGAATAATATGCACTAAGACACAGCGGGGACACAAAGCGGAGAAGAGTGGCACAAACTGTTGACACAACATTTAGTTAAATACACAATCTAAAATTTATTACGACAAAGTTGAGATTAAAAGACAAAAAAATATGTCAATTATCTTAAAATTCCGGTTTACATTCGCGTGATTATATCCTTGTTTCCATCTAATCCACTGGTGAATCTGAAGTTTCTGAAAAAAAGAGGCTCATTCCACATCCATTGATTCCATTCAAGTGCACCATCATAATAAATTTAGAATGAAATAAATAAATAGAATAAAATAAATTACTACTTTGCATATTTTAGAGTAAACGCTAAAGCTAAGTTACCTCAGCAAATCGCCACGATAAACTCACTGTCAGGCATGAAAGAGATTTGAAAGTGCTCACTAAATCTCTACCCAACTGCAAAAAATACAATTTGTTGTGGGGCATTCTAAGCGGCGTACCTACAAAATCCCAGACATAATGGGAAGGTGAAATGATTTCTATTGCGTATCGCTAAAAATTGAAATTCTCAGTTGATTTATTCAATACCCCGGTGGTTACGTCTGAACCACTCCTAATATTCCCATGCAATAGTCGACCCCAAGTACCTCAAAGAAGCCAACTAAAATCATATGTTTCCTTCCAATTGCATCGAATCGATCTGACCTATAACCAAAACAGACAAAAAAATTCAATTTTGGTCAAATTCTATCTTCCCACCCACCCGCCTATCCCCTCTCCTTCCCCTTTTTGTTTTACTAACGATATTACCTTAAGATCTGACTTTAGCTATGCGAATAGTTATTCAAATACTTGAGCCCAAAAAAATAATAAATCAAAATGGATTGTTTTGTGTATTTCATATTTCTCGTTAGGGTTATGAGATGTATCATCGTGGGACAGTTCAAAAACTCAATCTCAAAACTACTCCAGAAGTGCTATTGGATATTTCTGAATACGGGACAGAGAATTTCGCTAAGGTAATGTTCGCCATGACTTAATTAACATCACATTTAACAAGAGAGACTGTACAACGGTAGTCAAAAAGGCCACAATACAACAACAACAACACAAGTAGGAGTGGAGGATGTAAAATTTTTTGCAGCTGTACCATTTTCTCCTCATTTTTATCCGCTTGCTCCGCATCACTGAGGTCATGCGCGTTGGCGAGGTTGTCCACAGCGATCGCCAAGAAGACGTTTAGCAGGGTATCTGACGTTTTAAAACATTGACAAAGAGCGAGGTTTATCGAATTGCAAAGTATTATTCCCCAATAAAAAACAAGAGATCTCTTTGATGTACTTCGACATCACAAATACCCCATTGGAAATTAAGTAAATTGCTGTTAAGAGATGGGGTGTGCAATAGACTTACCTCCACGTGGTGCACTCTGGGCAACTTATACTCACACGGCAAAAAAGTCTATTAGCCGGCAGTTGACTTCTCACTTCAAACTACCATCACCCCACTGTATGCCATATTCGACTACTTCCACAGTACTCTTCCTACCTTTTTTCTACCTTCGTCTTTGAAGCACTCTTCTGTTCCCCCCCCCGTCTCGACTTTTTTCACTTTGATGTTCCTTCCCCTCTGTGAAGCCTGAAGTCAACCAAAGGGCTAATGATAACCATCAAAATGCCCGCCATTTGATATAAATAAAAAAAATAAAACTGTTAAGAAGATTAAGTAAGCTATTTCGATGCACCATCTCTTTTATATGCGTTCTGCTATCGCAGTAATTTTGTACGTAAAATTGCAATACTATTCCAAAATTTCAGGAAATGAAACGTTTAAAAAGAGTCGTGATTAATTGATGGAGGTATTTATTATTTATACATGAAATTCGGAACACCAAAATTGGATACACCTTAACACTTAACATTTATTTTCCTCACCTATTTTCAAATTTTATTCAAAATGAGACTCAACAATCCCCAAAAAATCTTATTAGAATTTCCTACATCAGATCCTCTTGTACTGAATACTTACTTCACAGGAATATACGATATTTTTTCCCAAAACTGCCAATATATATATATATATACATAAATAATTTGAAAAAAAGTTTTCTAGGGAACTGTAAAATTTTGTTAATTCGGGAGGGACTAAGGCGGAATAGTAACGATTTATGAAGAAGAAGAAACAAGTCGCCTCTCTGAGTAAGCGGCATAAAAGTAGCGAGGATGTAGCTTAATTGAAGCTCCTCTTACGATATAAACTCTCTTGGCAAATAATTCTCTGCAAAATTCATTTACCGGAGGCACAGCCACATGTAACTAATTTATCCGCTAAGACCATAACGCACTGTAATAACTGCTGTGCAAATGGCCCGTACAGTAAAGTTAGTTAAAATACGCACACAAACAAAACCTAGAAATATTTGTGCTTGACGTGGGAGTTGAGAGAAGTTGGAGTGATGGGTCAATTCTAATTGCTCCCCCAAGGGAAGTAGAAAGAAGGACAAAAAAAGGGAGAAAGGGGGGGGGGAGGGGGAGGGGAGAGAAACAGCAACAACAGTGCATAGAGCCTGCAAACAAAATTGTTTCTAACCGGAAGTCAATCTCAATTGTGCAATGACAATTATCTTCTCTCTGCCTCCCCCTTTGCTGTCAAGGCGTTTGGGACGAATTTAGCCCCATTGGGGGCTGAAACAAGTAGCCTTTCCTGCTAGAACAAGGCGAAAGATCTCGAACATAATTATACTAGGAGGAATTTCTTTTAGTCATAATCTCACACCGATACAATCAGGTGACTTCTTGTTTAAAGTAAAAAAATAACAGCTCTTTAAACCACATTTTCTTTCGCACCAATAAACGCACGTAGTTGAGATGCCTCCGTTATTTTTATGAAATCTACCTTACTCCAAGTTTCCTTAAAATTTGACCAAGACAATTGGACAAAGTCGGTTAGTTCCTTCCTTATACCCCCCAAACCAAAAGACTTGCGAACTCTTCTGGTCAACATCAAATTTTTAATTTGGAACCTACCACCTCGAGCCATGGATTCCAATTCTTGACCGTCTTTGTCATGAATTGAGCACTATCTACAACACTCAATCTCCAACTTGGAGCTTAAACAAAGTGGTTGAAATTCTGGCATTGCATTAAGGGTACTTTCTTGAAAATATAATAATGTAAAGATCTTTTTGAGTGGTCATTGTCTATCACTCTGTTTTTTATATATTTACGTGAGTTCACAAACACATTTAATTAAAATTAGGTGATGAGACCATTTTTAGGGTATGATGTCTTGGTCAAAGATTTTCGCATGTCATTTTGTGCATAGATGGCGAAACGAATTGCGGAACATCATACCTTTATCTTGATTCATTATAACTAAAGTTTTAAAGACATAGTTTGAAGATCATGGCTGTTATTTCCTCAGCACAATTGGTCGATTCATTTGATAAAAGTAAAGTGAAATAATAAGCGTCAAAAAAATGTAATTATAATTAGAGAAAACGGTCAAACTAACAATTTAATGGAAATATGATTTTTTGCCACTTTATAGCAAAAAAATTAATGTGGAAACACATCTGTGAAATGAAGAAAAAAGGATTTGGTGAAACGCAACCTCTCACTCAAAACAAAAATCGAATCCCAATTTTCCGTTTGCCTTGAAAAGTACTTTGTAATTTCCATAAAGTAAAATCTCTCTGATATGAGTACTTTAAAGAGGTAAGGATCAACGACGAGGCAGATATTTTTTAGTTTACATTTTATGCACCACTTGATATCAAAATTGGCAAACTACTCTGGGAAAATGGTTGCATTTTTTTAGGTCAAAAGTAGTTCAAAGTAATGAAATTGTCCATTAGTAAACAATCGATCGAGGTCTTTCCTGAACCAAACTCTCAATGCCCTCACCTTTCCAACCAATCAACTCATGAAACAAAGAAGGGACTTAATATTGTGCGAAAGTGCTATTACTACTATTATTCCAAGAGTCAATTTGTTTATATTATTCACTTCCTTCCAACACAACTATATATGGTTCCTGTCATTCTTAAAGTAGGGAAGGAAACATTGAAAATGATCTATATTATTTTCCTGATCAATCGTTCAAATCTTGCAAAGTATAGGGGGACGATTTACTCAAATGTAAAAAAAGTCTCCAGTCTGCCCAGAGGGAATTGATATTTTTTCATCTTTTTAGATTGTACAATCATTTACCTTCAAATTCAGACAACATAATTTATGATAATTAATAATTTCATTAAAAACAAACGGTTTGAATTCTACTATTCAAGAAGAGGGCTAAAATTTTTAATCTGATAAGTTAAAAGTTATTTTAAGATTGAACAAAAACCATGAAAACGCGGGGGGGGG